CTTGAGCAAATATTTGTCCGCGTTTTTACAAGCGATTCGTCATCAATCACGCCATCCTGGCTATTACAACCGGCACTTTGTACCTACCAAATCCTGATAAAAACTTCCGGTTGTACTAGCCAGGATGGCGTGGCCTGACGTGAGCGAGTTAAAATTTTCGTGGACGTCAAACAATAAGGGAAACGACTAGAGTTACGCTTCTGGGGCCGGTTGTATAAAAACGTAGTTAGCGCTAACTGCAGTTAAAAAGTAGTTAAAAAGCCTTAAAAAACCGTTAACTTTAATCACGTAGTTAAGCCGGTTGTATAAAAGTGTAGTTAGCCTTAACTGCAGTTAAAAAGTAGTTAAAGTTAACTATGCTTTAGGGTATAGTTAACTGTCCAAAACGTAGTTTAATGAAGTTGAATATGTTGGAAAAGAGACAGATAGTTAAAATCGAACAACTGGCAACTAAGCAAGACAACAATAACTTGGAACACATTTTTATTGCATATATTTTGGGCAGAGAAGTGCTCGAAAACAGTTCCGGCCGAACTGTCTAGAGGCTCTCGCTAACCTAAGTTTTATCTAGAGAAACAGGCGAATCTCTAGACTGCAGAGGGCATGCTTGACTCTGTGCATGTCGTTCAGCGAGTTGAGACCTAGTTGGACTGGTGAACAACTATTGGTATAGGGCACATTACCCAGGGTACTCAAAGCTGGCTGAGGATACACGCAAAAACTGTAGGTTGTTCTAGAGGAACAGGCGGACCTCTAGATAACAGGGGAACAGGCGAACCCCCGTTCAGATCCGTCAGGCCGTCGACACTGAGACCTAGTTGGACTGGTGAACAACTATTGGTATAGGGCACATTACCCCGGGCCGCAACTGATAACCTGACTGACCACATCGAGTCTCTAGGACTGCTCATTCAGGTCTTCAGTGCGACCTGAATGAGCAGTGATTGCGCTTCACGTGGTGAAGTGTTGTCCATCGGACAGCACTTCCCTGCCAGTAATTAAATATTTATTGCATTTTTTTTTTTTTTTTACACAAGTGGGTTACAAATCTATGAGTAACATGTCTAACTATATACAGGAATGTCCATTTTTACTAGTTAACAGTCCTTACAACACGCCATTGTAGAGACGCAGATTGGTGTACATGATTATTGGGAGGTGGGTAGGTTTTTTCCAAATTTTCACTTCTTTGCCAAGGTTTTAAGGTTTTTAGTGCACGATGAAGACATGCGAGTTCTTTAAAAGTGATGGGCCGACGATCTCTCGTTTTTTCACCCTTCAGGCATTTCAGACCTTTCAGACATTTTTCTAATAGTTGCATGGTCCCCATATTGAATGGCAATTGGAAAATGACGTGCAGATAAGACACGCTGGCTAGATACGTTTTGACAGTTGCATATGAAACTGATTGGGATAAATGTCCCACAAAGTAAAGTAAAGACCGTTGCGAAGGGATATGGATTGGGGGGGTGTCGAAGGTCAAATTGCCGAGTGACGCTAGTTGAATTTGCCGAGTTTTTCAAAAGTTTGTAAAGGTTAGATATAGGTAATGAGAATCATATTGGTGTGCTAGTAACTGAGGGACACCAATATGGCTTTTGTTTTGAAATGGATATCTGTTCGTGGGTTGTTGCTTTATATTAAACATATAAAGCTGAAAAAAAATTAAATTTAACATAATTTCACAAGTCCTAAATCGAGACTGAAACTATGTGCACACGGGTCACGTTTCGGAGCCTTTTTGCAGTGCCGTTTTCAAATTAACGTTTAGGCGCCTTGTTCACATTGATCGTTTTTCTCGCAACATTTTCTGACAAAGCACTAGTTTTTTATAGTCTTCGTTTCCAAATTCAAACACGGAATTTCATTTTCGCCTGCTACTTTTCTGTTTACACAATAACAAAGTGCCAAAACGACCACTTGGACCAAACGTTTCAGACATAGAGAACGAATGTTTGGCATCGTTTTCACTGTTTGAAACGTTTTTGCTTCCTGACGTCCTTTTTCATACGTTTTCGTGTGAACAGAGAACGTACGTAAAAATGGTACTTTCAGTTTCAGAAATTAACGCATTAATTACAACCAAAAACCGAAAAATGCTCGGAAACGGTACCGTATGCATATAGTCTGACTGTCTGAGTAAGGAGTGTCTTAGACTTACAAGTTATCCGAGTATTACCCTGGTTCCAGAGGTTTATTTTTATTATTTTCATTGCGAAGGGGAGAGGGAAAATAAACCTTTAAGTGAAAGCGGCAATTGATTCATTGAGCCGCGCCAATCAGTTTGAATTGGGGTCAGATCCTGAGTCTGTCCCCTAATTGGATGATCGTATTAAAGCTCTCTGATTGGTTATAGATGTTCTATTTGAACCAATCAGAGAACTTTAATACAATCATCCAGTCAGGAGACAGAGTCAGGATCTGACCCTAATTCAATCCTTTCACATGTGAAATTTCATTGTAATTTTTAATTTCATGTGAAACCTTCCACATGTGAAATTTCATTGTAATTTTTAATTTCATGTGAAACCTTTCACATGTGAAATTTCAGTCGTAATTTCATGTGAAATCCTTTCACGTACATGCGAAATTTCACTTTGTAATTTGTAATGTTATGTGAAATCCTTATCTTTTCACATGTGAAATTTCACTTGTAATTTTTTCATGTGAAATCTTTTCACATATGTGAAATTTCACTTGTACATGTAATTTGTAATTTCATGAGAAATCCTTTCACATGTGAAATTTCAGTCAAAATTTCATGTGAAATCCTTTCACGTACATACATGTGAAATTTCACTTTGTAATTTGTAATTCATGTGAAATTGTCATCTTTTCACATGTGAAATTTCAGTCGTAATTTCATGTGAAATCCTGTCACATACGTACATGTGAAATTTCACTTTGTAATTTGTAATTCATGTGAAATCCTTATCTTTTCACATGTGAAATTTCACTTCTAATTTCATGTGAAATCCTTTCACGTACATGTGAAATTTCACTTTGTCAATTTGTAACGTTTATGTGAAATTCTTTCACATGTGAAATTTCGCTTGTGATTTCATGTGCAATCTTTTCACATGTGAAATGTCACATGCGATTTCATGTGAAATTCTTTCACATGTGAAATGTCACATGTAATTTCATGTGAAATACTTTCACATGTGAAATGTCACATGTGATTTCATGTGAAATCATTTCACATGTGAAATGTCACATGTGATTTCATGTGAAATCTTTTCACATGTGACATTTCACATGTGATTTCATGTGAAATCTTTTCACATGTGAAATGTCATATGTGATTTCATGTGAAATCCTTTCATTTGTGAAATTTCACATGTGATTTCATGTGAAATTTTTTCACATGTTAAATTTCACATAAGATCACATAATTTCACATGTTATCACATGATTTCACATGAAATCACACATGTGAATTCATGTGGATTTTTTGTAAGGGCAAACTGATTGGCGCAGCTCAATGAATCAATTGCCGCTTTCAACCAGAGGTTTATTTTTCCTCTCCCCTGCGCAATGAAAATAATAAGAATAAACCTCTGGAACCAGGGTATCCAAGTATCTGCATGTTATTGCATTGATATTTTGTTTCAATATTTTCATGGCAATTTGATGAAATTGACCTTTTTTATCCCCAGGCGCCGAATAGACAATTTATAATATTTTTTGTATTTTGAGCAGTCTTAAAACTCTTAGTGCCGGATAGTGTTAACGGGGCTTTTGTACGACCCGATTTTCCAAGGGTTTAAATTTTATGCGTCAGAAAGCGAGTAAAACGGATATGATCATATGCAACCGATCGATGATACCGATCGCTGTATGCGGTATGTCTTTCAAAACTGTAGGCTGATCAGAGTTAACAGTAATTTCGCTAAAGAACTAAAGAAGACAAGTCCGTTCTTATCAGTGGCATGGCTCGTCTTTCTCTTGGTCTTCTTCTCATGTGCCTGTGGAGTCTTCTTGAGGATCTTGCGCCTCTGACGACTCAAAATATTCTCTTTGGCTTTGACTGTGCTTTGCAGTCTCGAACGGATTAGCTCGTACGTCTTTATGTGCTACTCGCACTCGGTTTCCTTTATGGCAAATTTGCTCGTGCCTCTTACGGTAATCGTCGGGCCGTATGTTAGATAACTTTTATGGTTAATACGTTTTCCCTCGTGAAATAAATAATAAAGTTTCTATAGTCGTCAAAAATGGAATTACATTCAAGACACTAAAGTTTTATTCTTTTTCTTTTGGGTTTTCAACCTCGCATAATTGATAAAGAGCCTTCGCTATAAGAGCAGTTGAGCGAAGAACATGCCCGGAAACGTGGGTTTCACATTTCAGTCTCCCGTCGATTTTCGACAAATAAAAGACTAATAGTATTACTAGAAAATAGAAATACATTTTAATTAAAAATTAAATTATCATTATTTTAAATCCAAAATTTATCGCTTTATTTATCGCCTTCGTTCTTAACTTTTACAATTTACTGAATGCCGAATTCGCAATTTGCCGAACAGTAACGAAGCAATTTGCCGACTGGGGCCGACTTGCGAAAATTATTGGGGGGGTGAAGCACCCCCCCACACCCCCCCGCTCGCGACGGCCCTGGCCCGGACACCTCCGTTGAAATTCCGGCAAAACTTTCTTTGGTTGGAAAACCTGCTTGGCCGGCTACCTTCAAACCTTGAGGAAAGAGGGCAGATATCAGACATGTGATCAGCGCCGCCGCATACAAAACACATTTGACGCGCGAGACCCGTGAACTTATCTAGCCAAAGCTGGAGATGGCGTTCACCCCAATTAAGCGCTGGATTTTTGGCAGCAAGCTTTCGAAAATCAATATCGTAAGCGTACCATGCGAGGCCTTTAAACTTTTGCGAAGCTTCGCGGATTATGCGCTGGTAAGCAAACAGCTGCGCGGCCTTATGTGGAAATTTAGCGACAACCACGGACGCGTAAATACCAAAAGCAGTAAGCCACTTATCTATGTTGTCGACTTTAGCGCGCTTTCCGAAATTTGAGAAAGGAATTGGGATCGTGAAACCCTAGTCGCCCTCTACTGAAAGGCGAATAGGGGCAAAACTAGGACGGTCTGAATTACTCGGGAGAAGCAAAGAAAAATCGACAAACTCACCCTTTAGAATTTGCTCTTCAAGCCTTTTTGGTAAACTTGGGCTGACGTCTAATGGCGAAGAAGATGTCGACGGCTGCGACGAAAGGAGGCTGGCAACTTGTGATGGATTACCGAGGTCCAGAGGCGGCGTTGGAGCGTTTTGCGCGGGAAAACTTGGCAGCGACGGTGGTTGAGGTGGCATAGTTGGCGGCGACCCGTTTTGTTGGGCCAAAACGTCGCGGAGAAGAGGAACAAGGTTCGACGCAAGCGAGCAGAGAGATTCAGATGAGTATTCCGGTGTTGAGCTGGGTCTCGGATCGGCACTCGATGCAGCTGGGACTTCTGCTCCATCGTGATCGGCGAGGCGCCGAAGAAGAGTATCACGCGAACCAGAAAGCGCGAGATTTCGTTGCGCCAGGAGGAGATGGAGAACCTCCGTTGATAAGTCGACGTAGTTCACCCCAGCAGTACTCGACGGCGTCGTTGAACTTTCACCAACATCTGCAGCCGGCGTTTGCTCGATGCCACGCTGCGGACGGCCACGAGTTGAGCCTCGAGTTGGTCCTGAACGACGCTTGCCTTTTTCTTTAGGCATTGTAAGTCAATATTTAATTTTATTTTTTTTTTCCAAATTTTCACTTCTTTGCCAAGGTTTTTATCCCTTGAATTATAAACTAAAAATTTTGCCAGAGATGTTAACAACCTCGTACCCAGGGTCCCCGTGTTTAAAGGTTCTGGTGCACGTGGAGGGACCCTGGCAAACTCTGATTGCCAGGTTACCAAATAATCCAAAAATCTTGGAGTATTTGTCGACCTGGCCTTTTTTAGCATTGGCATAACGGGGGGGAAGACTCATAATAAAAAATATTTCACAAACTGCAAGTTTTTATCAAAGTCAGCTGTTTAAAAGGATTTTTATTGCACCTGTCGTACGATTTATCAAATTTTGATATCATATGTGATATTTTGAAGTGGAAAGTCATTCAATTACTGGTTAATATCGAAGAATTTGAACTCATGATCCGCCATCATGCCATGGAAATGTATATATAAATCTATATACAGAGTTCTGGTTAAAAAAACCAGGTACTGTATTAAAATACCACCATTAGGTAACAAATATATTCTCATATTGTATATAATGTTTACTCAAATTTGAATGTCTACAAATTGTTCTTTCCCATTGCAATTTGCGGCTTCCTATGCTATGCTTTTCAAGCCATGGAAAGACTTCATGTTAATTTTAAAGTCCACTTGTTGGCGTAGCTTGGCTTTCTCTCAAATGGTTTGATCTTCTTCGGGTCCGGCCCTGTACCATTATTACTTGATAGTCTCTTCACATCTCAGAACTGAGACCTTGTTCAAAATTTTGTGAAAAGAATTTGATGACTTGAAGTACAAGAGGATCAGTCTCTTCTTGTTGATGTTGTTTCTTAAGCCATCACCATCTTTGCATGATGATCATGCAGTTGCATCAAGAACACAGCTAGCTCTATATATGATGTTTAAACCGTAGTCATCTTGGCAGTTTGAATAATAATTATGGTGTAAATGTTTTCAAACAATGATAGGTTCTAAGTATCAGACAAATTGAAAATTAAAGTTATAGATATTATATAGTTATTTTCAAAACTGAATTGAATAGTCAAATTGTTAAATTATTAATTAAAATATTGTTTAATTTATATATAATATTAATACAGTAAATAATATTTAAGTTTGAGTAAACATTATATGCAGTATGAGAATATATTTGTTACATAATGGTAGTATTACACTGCTGATAGTGTTTTTTTTTATCCAGAGCTTTGCAGTATAGTATATAGATTAATACATTTGCGTGGCAGATCACGAGTTCAAATTCTTCGATATTAACCAGTAATTGAATGACTTTCCACTTCAAAATATCACTTGTGATATCAAAATTTAATGAATCATGTACCAAGATCAAACATATTGGTTAACCCCTTATGCGGCAGCGCTCTCCCCTTGACAAGTAAAATCATCTGGTGTTGAATCATCTGGCATTAGACAGAGTAAATAGTAAGGTAGGGCGCAATGCGACTCAGTGGGTTAACTGGACACATGGGCAGTTAGGCCAGTTAACCATTAAGTCCCAGCATGATCTCCCCTTGATGAGTAAAATCGTCCGGTGTTGAACAGAGTAAAATAATAAAGTAGGGTGCAATGCGACTCAATGGGTTAAAATTTAAACGCTAGCCAATAAAAACTTATATTTGTAAAATATTTTTGATCTTGAGTCCACCCCCCCCCCCAGTAGGCCATTGCCAAAAAAGGCCAGGTCCAAGATTTTTGATTATTTGGTAACCTGGCAATCACAGTTTGCATTGAGTTAGTTGTTTCAAAATGTGACCATATTATGTCAGCTGAAGACATGTTTGTGAGCTTTGAAATTTAGGATATGCAGCATGCATATACCAGTACTTTTTTAAGATAATTACTGACCTTTGTGAGAAAGGTACAAGTTCAATTCCAATTTGTTATGTTAGTTATATATAATTATAGTTTCTATTTTTGAGTGATCTATTGCCAGTATGTATAGTATAAGACAAACATGCTCAAGCTTTTCCTTGTCACATTTTGAGCTGGGTTGTTCATATTGAATAAAGATTGCTAACTTTTTTTTTTGGGGGGGGGCTGAGAATAAATAGATTTTGTTCTTCATTTGCGAACTTGTCCCAAAAAAGTGGGAAAGGGTGTTATATCATACTAATAAGCTGCATTGATCACAGCCGTTGAATGGCAAAGCATGCATGTTTGTAGATAAGATTGTACTATATCTATTATAAAATTTCACTACAATGAACATATAGACATCCACTCATCTGTAATGGGAAAGGGGGTTGAAACAATCGCAGAACAAGTCGGCAATTGAAGGACAATTTATTTGTCGACAATCCTTATTAATACAAGTATAAACTATATGAGGATTTTGTTTACACATTACTGTACATCATAATTAGATGAATTATATATTTAAAATTTCTACATGCATGTCAAATTGAAAAATTCCACAATATAATATAACATAGACATGTGCTTTAGAAGTGGTATTTTCAAAAATCAGCATCAATGATGCTGATAAAAAAATAAGGACAGACAAAATCAATTTAAAAATTTAAGAACTGTATTAGGTTTTAATAATAAAATATACATACAATTTATACACTTAATGCATACTGCATAGCCTTGCCAGTCAGGTTCTTTAAAATAATTAAAATTGTCGTCTTTTTTATCCAATAATGAGTCCGATCCATTATAGGCTATAATTTATGTAGCAAAGCATTCCTGTCAATATTAAATGGACTTTTAGAGATCTATCATATAAAATAGCCAATTTTTGATTGTGATTCATCTTTTTAAATTGTCAATTTTCATACTTCCGTTCTTCGAATTCCTTCGATAGACAAGATTAGCAAAAGTATGTAGATTGCCGCCGCCAGTAGGTTAACGAAATTGTAAGAAGATCTTTGTGTTTATATATCTTTTATTTCATATTCTGTATTTATTTGCATTCGCCCTTCGCGAAGTTTGCTTGCACAGTCACAGTGAAAGTGGCCATCGCCCCCCGGATCATAAAGTTACAAATTACGTAATCTTCAAGATTTGTGACGTCACGCAATCAGAGTTTGCCAGGGTCCCACTACGGGGACCCTGGGTACGAGGTTGAGATGTTAACGCACTGGCTGAAGTCTTGAGAATGAACAAAGCACGTCGAAACTGCGATCAAAAGTCCTTGCGCAAAAAGGGGGGCATTGTATGTATGCACGTGAAGGAAAACCTTCAGGATAACTTCGGATTGGTTAATCTCAAGTTTGCATCAGTTGTTCACATGCTTAGTAGCCAAAGTTCGATTTTTATCTGATATTTTGTAATATTAACAGGACTAGAAAACGGTTCCCTTGTTCTGCCAAGGTACTTGGACCTTGTACGTACCTTGCACGGATTGATTTTGTGACGCAGGTGTGTTGGCAGACAGAAAACACCCTCGGGCAAATGGAGTCTTCTAGAACATATTACTCCATTAACCGCAATTTATAGCTTTGCTTAAATTGATTATTAAAAATGGCGTTTGTATAGGAGTGAACAACATTTTTCAGTAAAACAATAATGAAAAGCAACGCTTACCTGAGATTTTCAATCGCTATCTTCCCTGTGAATGTTTCCTGACAATATAAACTCTTCAAACGCTATCGCTTTGGTGTTTTTACGAAAACAGAACATATTTTTGCACAGGACGATTTCTCGAAGACGAAGTATGGCCCATTACACCAAGAAACACTGATATATAATTGCCTACAGCTAGACTTTGGTTTAACGTAGACATCTCAAGGAAAAACTGCATTCTTTTATGATTTTTGTGGCGGTTTTTCCTTGTTTTCTTCCTTATTTTTCACTGTTTTCTAGTGTTTTCAATAAAATTTCCGCCTATTTGCAAAATACGAGTCCACAATCATGTTGAAAATGTGTCAGCGGTCGTTATTCGCTGCTTACTTTATGTAATTTTGTGTTTAAACGCCCCACGCAAGCCCCACGCACAGTTAACTACGTGATTAGTTAACTATCCGACTAACTACGTTTTGTGCAACGCAGTTAAGTCATGTAGTTAACTAATTACAGTTAAGGATTTAACTACAGTGATTAACGCTAACTACAGTTAGCGCTAATTACGTTTTTATACAACCGGCCCCAGGTATAACTTCCTATTCTGTGCCCGAGCGCCACGCGCGAGGGTAAAAATTTCAACACGCACTTTTGGGCAGCCTATGGTGAAACCAACAATCGAAGGGTTGCGTTGAGTCAAATCAATCCTTGCTGATCGATATGGCAAGGATTCAGAGGTCGTGAAAGCGCATGTAAAGGTGATTATGGACTTACCGACCATAACTAGCTCTAACCCAAAGAAAATACATTATTTCAGTGATAGACTAACTCACGCCGTTCATGCCCTTGAAACCTTGAAGAAATTAGAAACTGTCAACGGATATGTCCCAATGACCTTGAACAAACTCTCGGGTATCCGTGGTGACTTGGTTCGTACCGATCCAGACTGGGAATCCTGGGACTTCGCAAAATTATCAGAGGCTGTACGTATATATGGTTATGGACACGACGAAATCCGTGTAGCGACTATAAAGAGGATGATCTGCAACTGGGAAGAAGAGATATGAAATCGAGGAAACTCATGCATTCCAAGGGATTTACTGGGAAGCAACGAGGATGTGTTCATTGTGACGGTATCCACAATGCAAATGAATGTGTTTTAACTGCGCAACAACCATCGAGAAGCACTTTGCCCTGGCAAAGGAACTTGTCAGAAATGCCAAAGGAAATACCACACATCCATCTGCCACACGCCAAACGAAGACCAAACTTTGCTGACAATGGGCAAAACCAACAAGGAAGGGATTTTTCCAGTGGTGCTTGTAAAGGTCAACGGGATAAAGTGTCGAGCGCGTATCGACTCTGGTGCTGGCAGTTCTTATGCATCTGCCAAACTTCTCGATACATTGAAATTAACCTGAGTGTCAGGCCCTTATGTTTTCATTCGCCAGGATTATGTTTTCATTAGCCAGATCCAGTGCTTTTTCGTCTGATTGGCCGATTAGACAAACGATTTTTTAAATCTGTTATTTGATTGACTGGTGCTAATTAGATTATTAGGTTTAGGTTAGGTCAATAGATTAGGTTTACGCTAGAGCGAGCTCTGCTTAAATATAAAAATTTTCAGTTAATTTCTCAGCTATTATATTAAGCTTTACATTTTATTAAAGCTAATTAATGTTTTTATGCACCCTCTCATCGTATTTTGGAACTGGATTTGTTCGTGGTGTCAAGTTATTTTGATTTGGTTTGGTTTGTTGGATCGTATACGTATCACTATCGTATTATTATAGCGCTACAACTGAAAATTTTGGTTAATGAACAATATCTTTGTCGTCGTCCGCCCTTTTCGTCCGACTCTTGCTGTGTGATCTACGAATCGTTTTGTGGTTATTTTGCATAATTTTGGTGTTATTTAAATGCACTGTTCATGAATTATTCAATTAATTATTTTTGACCGTTGCCGTTGGAACTTTTGAAATTTAAATCCGGTCTGGCGTCGCTTTCCATGGCAACAACTATCTTATGTAATGGAGTTTAATTAAATCAAATAAAAAGGTATTTCTACGGATATCTTGAACATAACTTGCTGAGTAATTGTTGGTTTTTCCATAGGCAGCCCAATGTTATGGTTGCCTGCCTGCGCGCGGGCGAGACATTGTATAGTTGTATTATTTCCTAAGGTAGGCAAATGCAATCAAATTAAGGATACATATACTTTCAAACAATCCAAAATACTTCAAATATCTTTACAACTACGCTAAGATAATTACGGAAATAAAATCTACAATACTTTTACTATATACCAACAATATTATAACGTACAAAACAAATTTGTAATGCGAGAAAAATACGAAAAGTTTTTGCATTATTTTTCAATTCTTGAATGAGACGATGCTGGATTCGCGCTCGACGTTTTTGGTGGCGTTTCAAATGACGAATTTCCAATCTCATTGGCTGTCATTTTTACGGTTTTAAAACGTCGATTATTTTAGCGTAGTTGTAAAGATATTTGAAGTATTTTGGATTGTTTGAAGGTATATGTATCGTTAGTTTGATTGCATTTGCCTACCTTAGGAAATAATACAACTATACAATGCCTCGCCCGCGCGCAGGCAGGCAACCATAACATTGTGCTGCCTATGGTCACAGATTAAGAAGAGGTATAAAGCAAAATATTAAGCATGATTCGTAAAGGAGGGCTGCTTAATGGAGGTTCGACTACAGGAGTCTCATATTGGCCGCAGTCTGGAAAGTTTGTAGTTTGTGGCATAATACTATCTTACCTATTAAAACAAAAATTAGCTGCACTCTTTGCAAACTTTCCAGTCAAGAATATTGCATAGTTTGTGAGACTTGTGTAAACAAAACAGATTTTATAGAATATTAAATATTGAATTCCATTTAGTCAGTGTGCTAATATCCTACACATGTAGTCTATACTAACATTAGAGGAAACCTGTCCAATATACCCAAATTATATCTTTTTGTAATTTGCTGTTTGTAGACTTTGTAGACTAGGTGAGGTATTTAATTTTAGAATAATTTTTGTCTGAGACACACAGTTTCTGAAACTCACATTTCCTGTTACAAGATTTTTATCAGAGAGTCTTTGTATAAATAGATGAATTAACTTGATATTTACAAATACTATGTATACATTCATGCATACAATGTAAAATTTGTAAACAAAACTAACTTATCTAGTTGTCTTCTACTTCTAGTTAATATATATGCAAAGAAAACTATAAATTATGCACATAATTTGTCAATGAATATCAGACATCGTCAAAAGTGCAAGAAAGTACATCATACATTGTAGAAAATGACTTCAAATACCTCAGCAAAGTGGCATTGTCATTTCGCCTATAGTTTTTCACTCCTACGACGATCGAAAAAGAGAAAAATTCGTAAAATATTGCAAACTAAGTGTGATAAACTCACTTTTCCAATGCGCGTACTGACGTTGAAAGTTTTAAACACAAATTTAACGACACGGCAATCCCTCTCTCGGGCAAATAAAAAGAGTTTATTTTCATGTTTGTTGTCTCAAAATAAATTGTTGCCGCCATTTTGGAATTTAATGTCGGGGGGGTGACTGCTTCTAGTCACTTGCTAAGCTATGCGCAGTACAGCATGCGCAGTGACGAAGCCCTTACGCTTTTTTGACTGAAGTCGGACATCTGGTACTCTTCATCTGTGCTATGGTTTTTCGTCAGTAATTACGCCGAATTTGGAGTTTTTCAGTTATCTATATTCCGCATTCGCAAGCCGAGGACCGTTGGCTGACGAATACAAACAATCACCCCATCGCACGCGCTTAAATAATTTTGACGTGTGCGCCAAAAAGAACAAAATAATTAAACAAATTAGAACTTCTTATTGAGAATTCAATATGTTTTCACCTAAATATAGCTACACTATTCTCTTCCTGTGGATGATCGATTTTACGAAGTAACCAAATTTCTGGAGAAACCAAAACGGTCGCTTTTTATGCAAGATCGAAAGTCGTTACGAATTTTGAGTTTATCAATTTGGACAACGCTGTCACGAGTGTTACGAATACACAAACGAACACGATTGAAATTTTATATTCTTTTCTATTACGTCGCCTGTTAAAAACGAAACGCCACAGACTGAAGGCTCCTTTACGTAATTCCCAAGTCTGCTGGTCTAAACGCGGACAAATCTATTTATCGCCCCCTGATTTTCACAAAGATATTTACCTTACTGTCTATATGGATTTAGAGTCTAACCCTGGTCCTGCTCAGTCTGATAATATAAATTACCGTTCAACCAATAATACGAACATGGCTAAAATCTTCTCAAACCAAGGTAACATTAAGATTGCTCATCTAAACATCCTTTCCCTAAAGAACAAAGAGCACTACCTATACTGGCACAGGATCTGGTCCTAAAACAGAAATTTGACATTTTCACCATCTCAGAAACTTGGCTGGACACTTCTGTTACGGATACTGAAATTGAATTCCCGGGATATGCTCTGCTTCGACTTGATCGCAATGGTAAGAGAGGAGTTGGTGTCTCTGCCTACGTCAACCAAAGCTTCAAATGTGAGCCAATGAAAGATCTGACCTACATTTCGGAATCTGGTTTACATCAGTTATGGCTAAAGATGCAAGATTACTGTCCACCTGACACCAGCTTGTCTTGTTTTGAAACTGATTTCAGCGAAACATCAACGTCAGCTTTGTCCTTTAACAAACCGATCTACATTCTGGGAGATCTCAACTGCAATGTACTTGATGCGAATGATCCGGGACAATGTGCTCTTTCAAATTTTTGTAAAGGCTTGTTTTAACCTCACTCAGACGGTTGATAATCCTACCAGAGTGACTGAACATTCTCGCACATTAATTGACGTAATTCTTACCTCTTCAGAAAATAATATCAAGCAAAGGAAAGTCATCCCCAATTCGATAAGTGATCATGATATAGTTATGTCAATTCTAGCCTTGGAAAAATGTCGCCCAAAGCCTGTTTATGTCTCCGTCCGAAGTCTCAAACATTACAACAAAGATTCTTTTTGCGAGGACATATCTAAAGCCTCCTGGTCCGTCATTAACAACTTTGAGGATGTCAATGATTGCTTAAATGCTGTCGACTTACTGTTTAATGAAATTCTGGATAAAAATGCTCCAATTAGAAAGGTTAAAGTAAGAACTCGTCCAAACCCCTTTGTGACAGAAGAGATTCGAGGGCTAACAAAAACTAGAGATCGATGGAGAACTAGCTCGGAATACTGGTGCTATACTCGGTCTTGCTGCATGGTCTGATTACAGGAACTGTAAACGGGATGTTAAACGAGAGTTACGTATGGCCCAAAGATCTTTTGTCGAGCAGGAAATTAGGGAAAACACCAAGAACACTGGCAACATGTGGAAAGTAATTCGCACTTGTATTCCAAAGATATCTACCGGGAAAAAATGCTTCAGCAGTGATGATAAGTCCGTGGCGAATAACTCCAACCAGTTCTTTACATCAGTTGGTTCAAATACTGTCACGAAATCAAATCACTATCTAAAGAAAACAATTACAAACCATCTCAGTTACCATTTGTCCCGCGAAGTTATACCGAGTCAGAACAGTTCACCTTCGAACCCGTAGAATGCTCCCTAGTAGAATATATTGTGAAATCAATGCCAGATAACAAAGCTCCAGGAATCGACAAAATACCGATCCGTGTCATCAAGGACTGTTTACCCGTTATTTCGCCATGGATAACCTCAATCATAAACAACTCTCTGGCGAACAATATATTCTCGAATACTTGGAAAATCGCGGAAGTAATTCCCATTCCGAAAGAAGGCGATCATGAGCTGGCGAAAAATAACCGACCCATTTCCCTATTACCAGTTCTTTCAAAAGTCTGTGAGCGTGTAGCACTCTACCAACTGACGTCTTACTTAACCACCAATCACCGTCTCTCTGTGCATCAAAGTGGCAACAAAACCTGGCATTCAACGGAAACCTCCTTTATTCATTCCACCGACTCTATTCTTAAAGCAATTAACCAGAAGAAAGTAACAGCAGTTATTCTTTAGGACATGAGCAAAGCTTTTGACAGCATTAACCATAATATACTGCTTGCTAAATTGTAGGACTTGGTGCCTCGTCTAGATGCCTGGGTTGGTTTAAAAGTTACCTCAGCGAGAGATACCAAGCAGTACGTATCAATTCTACTTTATCTGAGAAATTGCCAGTGGTTAGTGGTGTCCCACAGGGAAGTATTCTGGGCCCGTTACTTTTCAGTATTTATGTGAATGATTTGCCGTCACTCGTCAAAAATTGTTCATCAGAATCGTATGTTGATGACACCAAACTCCTTCTGTCCTTCCGAATCAATGACTCGAACATCACGCTGACTGACCTAAACGAGGATTTGATTAGAATGCGAAACTGGAGTTTTGAAACCTGCTCTTGCTGAATCCAGACAAAACTAAATTGATGGTCTACGGAAGCCGCCAAATGCTCTCGAAGTTACCTGATTTTAGACTCTCGCTACTTGGTAAGGAACTAACACCAGCTTCATCAGTGAAAGATCTCGGAGTTAAGTTTGATCCAATCCTCTCCTTCGACAATCATATCATTTCTACTGTTTCATCCTGCAAGTCAAGTCTCTGCCAGATAAATCGCGCTGAGCATGTCTTCCGTTAAAACCTTTTAATAACTGTCATCAACGCCTTAGTATTTAGCAAACTCTACTATTGTTCCTCGCTTTGGTCAAATACTTCCTGCAGCAACCTAACCCGACTTCAAGGAGTCCAGAACTTCGCAGCACGAGTAGTGAGCAACAGAAGGAAATTTGACCACATCACCCCGATACTTAAGGTATTGCGCTGGTTTCCCGTGAAGTCACATCTGTACAGTCGCGATGCTTTATTAGCTTTCAAATGCATGAATGATTGCGCATCTGCCTACTTATCGTCTCAGTTTAAAACGAGAGGTGAAGCGAGTGGTCGCGATACTAGAAATACTAAACAGCTGGACGTTCCGTTAAACAGATCAACTGCAGGACAAAGAACATTCCATTACAGAACTGTCACTCTCTGGAACAACATTAACCCTGACTTAAAACTTTGCAAATCTATTCCAAGCTTTAAAATTAAACTGAAACGGGAACTGCTTCAGCAATTTCTAGATAGTTAGCCTAAGGGCATGTTTTTCTGTTGTCGTTGTTATTGTCGTTGATGTTGTTATTGTTGTTGTTGTTTTTGCTGTCGTTGTTGATGATGTTAATGTACGTTGTATGCTGCTGTTGTTAATCTTGTTGTCAATAATTTGATGTTGTGTTTGTATATAAAGTAATTGCGTGATCTTATTTTATGAATTTAGGATCTGATGTATAATTATAGTAATTAATTGATATGTATATATATTTTTGTCATTGAAAAGCCCCTTTAGAGGAATGTCAAAAAAGTCAATCAATCAATCAATCAATCTTATTGGCGTTTTGTGGCACACCAAAAAGGCAGGAAAGAGTTGACCTTTCCGAAAAATCAATCACGCATAATCTTTCATTCAGTTCCTCTGAGCTCTATATCTATCTGGAGCGAGAACTCGAGTCTAATTAGGACGTGTTTATATGGAAGTCGGGCTGGCCCGCTAAGCGAGACTTTTTATAGTAAATGTTGTCGTGCGTTTATATGGACAAGAGGGCTGGCCCGGTTGCCGAGATCTCGCTTAAAAGAAGCAAGATCTCACTTGCCGGGATGAAAATTTCTCCATATAAAAACTCACAAGCGGGCCAGCCCAATTGCCGGGATGAGAGTTCAAAGATACCGCCGTAATTTATTTTTAACAACTATTAAGAGAAATTCATCCCGCTTACCGGGCTCACTCGCTAAGCGGGCCAGCCCGGTTTCCATATAAACAGGTCCTAAAGGTGCAGCCAGGATGGCGGAAATTGAGAAAGAATGTTGAAGAGCTTGAAGAGTGTCATAAACATTTGGAATTACTCCAGACAATTAAATAGTTCAGTGGTTAGTGTTTCCATATAAGGAAAAGGGTTAAGCACATGTATTATTGTATTTTTGTGCCTTGAAAATATATTGTTGTTTTGTGTTTGCGAGTGGTTTTAGAGCGAAAATGTAGGTCAAAATCGAATCTTTATTACATGGCGCCCAACGTGGGGCTCATATCTAGTGGTATCGAGAGCCCAATAACGAAAATAACCGAAAATATTGGCGATTAATATACGATAATACGAAATTATAAACGAAATACACGATGTCTTTGAGCGAAGGTCTTGCACGTTTACGAGCAATTCGAGGCGGTCATCGGGCCGTTTTGACGAAATATTTGAACGAATTAGAGGAACTACTCGCTACAGCCGAAATATCCGAAGAATCTCTTATGCGACTCGAAGTTTTAAAGCAACAAATCGACGGAAAACAAAGGACATTAAACGAACTCGATGCGAAAATATTAAACGAGATAAAAATTGAAGACGTAGAAAAAGAAATCGACGAAAGCGAAGCCATTGACATTAAAGTTACCGTAGCAAGGGAAAGAATCGAACGAGCTAAGAAGCAACATGCGACTCCACAGCATACAAATATTGTCGAAAATAGTCAAAATACGAATGATCATGGTGCGGTTGCTATGGCGACGTCGAGCTCAAATTTCACGAGATTACCGAAATTACAATTGCCACATTTTAAGGGTGACGTGACAAAATGGAACTCATTCTGGGATGGTTTCGATTCAGCAATTCACTCGAACGGAGCTCTCAACAAAATAGATAAGTACAATTATTTAAATTCATTATTGGAGGGCCCAGCTGCTAGGGCTGTACAAGGCCTTACACTCACAGAAGCAAATTATGATTCAGCCATAGAGTTGTTGAAATCGAGATTTGGGAAACCACAACAGGTGATAAGTGCACACATGGACGAACTTCTGCACCTTCCCAACTGTAATCCTGACAAATCGTCATCACTTCGGTTTGTCTATGACAAAGTTAGCATACATGTGCGTGGGTTGGAGTCGTTAGGCGTGTCATCAAAGGAGTATGGTAGTTTGTTGATACCGATTGTAATGACAAAACTTCCCAATGATTTACGAATGAGGATAGCCAGGGAGACATCAGGGGATGTTTGGAAAATTGATGAAATTTTAGAAATTTTGCGAAAGGAAATCGAAGCCAGAGAGGCTAGTGAGCGTTTTAAAGTAGCTGAGCGCCAAAAACACTATGAACCCTCCCCTCGAAAGCCTTTACCAACCATAGGCAGCACCTTATTAAGTCAAGAAGAAGTTCAATTCAAAATTCGCTGTGTTTATTGCAATACCCCTCATTACTCGGCTTCGTGTCCCACTGTGACAGATCTGACCAAACGAAGAGAAATATTAGTTAATGCCAAACGCTGTTTCAAATGTCTAAGGCAAGGGCATGAAGTAAGAGACTGTCGAAATCCAAAACTCTGTCGTAACTGTGGGGGGCGTCACCATCAGTCCATATGTAGTAAGGGTTTCCTACCGCGAAACCTTCCAGAGAAGAATGAGCAGAATGAGCAAATAAGAATGAGCCAAATAAGGATGAGCAGAATAAGGATAAGGGTGCAGGTAACGTGGGGAGCAAGGACTCTACACTGACTGTGGGTAATCTAGTAACTAGCAAAAGGCATGTTTTACTTCAAACTGCTCGTGCAGTGGCAACTAATGAAGATGGTTCAAAAACTTGTCCAGTACGTATTCTCTTCGATAGTGGTAGCCAGCGGTCATACCTCACTGATGATTTAAAACGAAAATTGAATCTGAATCCAATCAAAACTGAGACGTTGTATTTAAATACATTTGGCGATTCCAAACACGAAAGAAAATCCTGCCAGTTGTTTAATCTGAACTTACGTGATCGTGATAATGAGATAACCCCGATTTGGGCCCTCAATTTCCCTGTTATTTGTTCGCCCTTACCATCTACGGTGGACATTTTTGATTATCAGCATATTCGTGGTCTAGATTTAGCCGATAGTAGTGAGATCCAAGACGACCATCATAGTGACACTGTTGATGTCCTGATAGGGTCGGATCACTATTGGAGCTTTATGTATGGTGAAACTATCCGTGGTGATTCAGGGCCTGTCGCAGTGAGCAGTAAATTTGGTTGGGTTTTATCTGGGCAGACTGAGTTAACCAATGAACGGGGTGTGAGACGAAAGGAGTCATCAGCAAATTTAGTCATTTCTTCCTGTACCGAAGATTTCCTCAACGACAACGTGCCGCAAAATGATCAACTTGTAGACTGTTTGAAACGGTTTTGGGAAACTGAGGCAATCGGAATTGCGGACAGTGATGATCTTAAGACTAACCCTGTCCCTAACAATTTTATCGAAGATATTGCGTTTGATGGTCAAAATTATGAAGTAGGTTTGCCATGGAAGGACAGTTCTTTTCCTGTCTCTAATGGCTACGACACATGTTCAAAACGCCTCCAATCTCTACATCGAAAACTACAAGCAGATCCTGTCCTCCTGAATGAGTATAACAAGATTATTTGTGACCAACTCGAAGCGGGCATTATCGAAAGGGTACCTGAAACAAGCGACTCCAGCAACGAAGAAACACGCATCAATTTCTTACCCCATCACCCAGTTATCCGAAGGGATAAAGATACCACCAAAGTTCGTGTAGTCTACGATGGCTCGGCAAAGGGCTCGAATGATGAAAGATCGCTTAATGATTGTCTTCAAACCGGACCGAACTTTACACCACATGTGTTCGATATTTTAGTTAAATTTCGTTGGAACGCTATTGGCATCACTGCAGATATCGAGAAGGCGTTTTTGATGATAGCGATTAAGGAAGTCGATAGAGATGCACTTCGTTTTTTATGGTTTGATGATCCCAATGAATGTCATCCCAATTTAACTATGTTTCGTTTCCGACGATTAGTATTTGGTCTTCGACCCTCGCCATCTATACTTGGTTTCACTATTAAGCATCACCTTGCAAAATATTCCCAGTCCGAAACAAAGTTGGTCGAAGTATTAGAAAATTCATTTTACGTGGACGATCTTATCACTGGTGAAGATAGCGTCGAAGAATCATTCCAAATTTACAAGGGGTCAAAACAAATTATGGCCACGGGGGGTTTCAATCTTCGAAAGTGGCATTCGAATTCAGACGAACTTCTCGCAAAAATTGAGTCCAACGAACTTGGTAGTGAGAAACCACCCGACCGTAGCCTTATGCAATCTAATTGCCAAACCTTCGAAGAGGACGAGTCTTACGCTAAGTCGACGACCGGACACAATACGATCGATACAGCTGATAATACTGTAAAGGTGTTAGGTGCCAACTGGAATACAAAGTCGGATGAAATATTCTTCAATTTCGAAAGGTGGAAGGAAGAAGCAACGTCACTCCCAATGACTAAACGATCTTTACTTGTGCTCACAGCGAAGATATTTGATCCCCTTGGATATCTTGCGCCTTTGACAATACTGATGAAGGTTTTATTCCAAGTTTTGTGTACGAACAAAGTTGATTGGGACGAAGAACTAACCGGAGATTTACTCAAGAAATTCCAAGCTGTTATTCGAGATATATCACTTCTTCATTCCGTGCGTATTCCCAGATGTTATTTTGACCCTAGATCAAAGCCAATTAATGTCGAGCTTCATGGTTTCAGCGATGCTTCGATTCATGCCTATTCAGCTGTAGTCTATATGAGATCAGTATATGAAAATGGCACAATTCAAGTTCGGTTGGTAGCATCGAAGACCCGAGTTGCCCCGTTGAAACGTCAAAGCATTCCTCGTCTCGAGCTTCTCGGAGCCCTCATATTGGCACGACTTTGTGACAAAATTATTAAGGTGCTTGGAGAACTTGTTTGTACCTATTGGGTTGATTCAATGACTGCTCTTTGTTGGATTCGCAATGATAAACTTTGGAAACAATACGTTCAACACAGAGTTCATGAAATTCGTAATTTAAGTTGCACGTCCGCTTGGCAGTACTGTCCCGGGGTAGTTAATCCGGCTGATTTACCCTCTCGAGGACTTGATGCAAAGGAACTAGCTAGTAACGAGGTTTGGTGGAATGGTCCACAATTTCTACGCCAACCATCGAGTGAGTGGCCATCAGAGGATCAAACGATAGAATGTAATGAGGATGCTAAAAACGAAGAAGTAAAGGCCCCACCAAAAATTACGCACGTTTTACTCAACCATGATCCCACGCAAGCTACAGCGAGAATCGACAAGGTAATGACCATTGAACGGTACGGTAGTTTCCAAAGGTTGTTGAGGGTTACGGTTATTGTACTGCGTTTTATCAAGCTATTAAAGTCGAAGATATCGCGAGGACCGCAGGAAAACCGTAACGAAGATGTTAAAGACTTGAATACGGCGGAAGTGTTATGGATACGTGCTACTCAAATATCATGTTTTCCCGAAGAAATAAAGTTACTGAGCGATGCCAGAAAGGACACCACTGGCTCCAGGGATTCAGCATCGAAAATTATCCAGTTTGGTCTGTACTTGGATGAGGCTGGTGTACTACGCTCTCGTGGACGATTGAACGAGTCTTCTCTCCCATTAGATAGCAAGAATCCGATATTCCTTCCCAACAAACACCCATTTGTTAATCTGTTGATTCTGCATATGCACAACGAAATCAAACACAGTGGAGTTCGTGACACTTTAACAACTATAAGAGAGCGGTTTTGGATTTTACGAGGACGAGAGGTTGTTAAGAAATTAATTAGGCACTGTGTTGTTTGTCGAAAGTACGGGGGAAAACCGTTCAAGCCCCAGCCAACTCCAGATTTGCCAGACTTCCGAGTTTCGAGCGACCCTCCCTTCACTCATATTGGGTTGGATTTCGCGGGTCCGTTTTTCATCAAATCGATGTTTGAAACCAAACCAACAGAAAACGGCGAGTCTAACCCCAACGTTAAAGCCTACGTTCTCTTGATCACGTGCGCGTCGACCAGGTCAGTTCACATTGAATTAACTTTGGGTCTCAGTGTACAAGCATTCCTACTTGCGTTCCGGCGGTATGTTAGTCGACGGGGGTTACCAGCCACAATAACGTCTGACAATGCTAAGACTTTTAAGTCAGCAAAAAGGGACATAGAACGAATTATTAGATCTGAAGAAGTACGGCAATACTTGGTAGAAAGACGAGTCAAGTGGAATTTTATCGTTGAGCGTGCTCCATGGTGGGGAGGATTCTGGGAACGATTAGTTGCCAGCGTTAAAAGGCCACTAAAACGTATTGTTGGGAGATCTACCTTAACCTACGACGAACTACAAACCATTTTAGTTGAAATCGAGGCATTAATCAACGCTAGACCTCTTACCTATGTCTATGATGACCAAGAATGTAACTACGAGCCTTTAACACCCTCTCACCTGATTTACGGTAGGCGTATTACGAGTACTCCAAACAGTTCCCATCACGAAGTTGTTAGTACTAATCGATCCTTGACAAGAAGAGCGCGTCGTCATAAGCAAGTGTTGGATCAATTTACGAAACAGTGGCGACGAGAATATCTCACCGGGTTGCGTGAACAGTCGTTAGCGAAGTCGCACAAAGGAAACTCAGGTTCAACGATTTCCCAAGGAGAGATCGTCATCGTCAAAAACGAAACAACGCCGAGAGCATTTTGGAAACTGGCTCGTGTAGAAAAACTACTTCCAGGAAGGGATGGAAACGTTCGAGCAGCAGAAATTAAGTTAGGGAGTAAATTCGTTACAAGAAGACCAATTGAACAACTCGTACCCATTGAAGTGAAATCTACGTTAGCAGATTTAGAAACCGGTCAGGAAGTAGAAAAGGAATGTATTCAAGATGATGATAATTTAGTTGTACGAAGTCGAAGAACCGCTGCTGTTCTGGGTGAAAGAAGACGACGAGAAGAGAACATCTTGTAACATTTAAAAAAATTGTAGTTTAAGTGTATTGATATTTGAACAGTTTGTGTGTTTATCACTTTTCAGTGACTAAACAGTGGGGAGTGTCATAAACATTTGGAATTACTCCAGACAATTAAATAGTTCAGTGGTTAGTGTTTCCATATAAGGAAAAGGGTTAAGCACATGTATTATTGTATTTTTGTGCCTTGAAAATATATTGTTGTTTTTGTGTTTGCGAGTGGTTTTAGAGCGAAAATGTAGGTCAAAATCGAATCTTTATTACAAAGAGCTATTGATTGGGCGTCAATGCCAGTCCCTTTCTATAGTTTTTGTCTGCGCGGTTAACACGAAGGCTGGCAAAGAGTGTACCGAAGTTTTGTATTTTGACCTCGATTTAAAGAAAACACTATGGTTTTATGAACTGATAACTTCAGTTAAGGATACGATCCGTTATAGAACATAGTCTTTCGAGACATCGTCTGGAAACTCCGCTAAAGTCATTGTTCTATCATTTTGTTCGCGTTTATGCAGTTTTGTGCACGGTGCACGGTCAATGAACACATTGTATTTCAGTATAATGAACCCAACTAGCCAGCGTGGCCGGCTCTTTTATAAGTAGAGCCTGCCCGAAAGCCCTAGTCAAATTGATGACTCTCGGCAGCCAGCCGCCGAGAATTGTGATTGGCTGAATTTACGTTGACGACAGCTTGATTGACATGTTACGCTAATTTATTCAAATATTTAAGAATAAATACAGTAAAAACAAACGGCATCGCTATATTAAGGCTATAAGTAAAACTAGGAACACCAGAACAACGGAACAGAGGAACACGGAACACCGGAACATCGGAACAGCATCATTCCGGAACACGGAACACCGGAACACTGAAAATTCTTAATTTGTTAAAAATTCGAAAAAAAATTACCGGGGGGTGTATGAAATTATTGCTTACACGCGACGGGGCATAAATGCAATAAGTTCAATTTGCAACTTGCATTTGAAAGGTAGATGTGCAATTTTCAACTTCCGCCCATTGCCATTGGCATTGAGTATATAAAAATGGAAAACAAAATTTAAAAATAATGAAGATCATTAATTTTAGCATTCTGTGATGAGGACCGAGATATTAATATTCGTTCAAAATATCAAATATCAAATTCAAATACAAGTTGCAAAATCAACTTATTGTTTATACATATAAAAATGGCGCATCCTATATTAAAAGGGCATAATTTAGTATATGCAATAATCTTTCGTGCTATATATCAGTACCGCGTCGCGTGTGACCTTTTATAAATATATTGCAGGCCGGCTAATATGGCATAACATACAGTATGGGGGAGGGCCGCCTACTATGAATCTCTGGGCAAGCGAAAACGCGGATAGAGACTATAGTCGTAGGATATTTACTTGTACTAAATCTCCAAATGTAAAACTTCCCTAACGTAAGTGAGTGTCAATTTAATTTACAGTCGAATAAACATACAGAAATAGACAAATAGACACATTATACGTGCGTTGAAATATTATTTATAAGAATATAGCTATGACTTACAAGGCCTACATTTGTTTGTATTTTTGTCCGTTTTGATTGACCAAAACGGCGAAAGGTTATCATCACGCTAAAATTTTCCCTTCCATCGCTGCTTATGTGTTGTGTGAGAAAGATCAAGTTGCTATTACGTATATTAATAAGGGGGTCCAATACTAAAATTTTGACTTTATGGGTGAAATTTATGAATTTTCAAAAAACTCAAAATTAGGTTCTTTGAAGCCTTATCAAACATTACTGAGACTTTTATTGTAAGAAAAACCATACTAAGTTAGGGAAAAATGACAAAATACCAAGGGCTTTGAATATTTCCGCCATAGCAACGCGCTTAGCAACCAAAGTTTGCTGTTGGAAATCGAGGTAAAAATTGTTTATAAAATAGTGATGTACAATTTTAGGCTACTAACTTGAAGTATTAGCTGCACTATAGCCTTCCCTTACCGCTTGACAACCTTCTCTTCTCATCGTGGGCTTTTTTTATCATTCTCAAAAATATCACAACAAGCGTTTTTCTCTGTCTTTATTTGTGATTTATTACACCAAATTTTTGCTTATTTCCGAATTATCTGCAATTGTTTCACTGTTATTATGGCAAGAGAGAATTCAAGGGCAAAATAAACGGCGATTTAGTGGAAATAGATTTGTTAAAAATGCAAAGAAATCGTGTACAAATGGACCCACCAAAATTGTGCTAACAGTAAATATGACGCCGATGCTCAATCAACTTCCAGTGCAAGTGTTTCAGCTTCATCGCGAAAAATCAACGTTGTAGAATCGCCAAATGCCACTAAAGAATCGCTACATGCAACAGGCTATCGTTTCATTGATATAGAAATTCTCAGTGAAGTTTTTCAGCAAGTAGTTTGCAAAGAATGTGGTGAATCCTCATCCCTCGTGCTTGAAGATAAAAAATTCGAACGTATAAAGGGTTGTGCATCTCATCTCCGTTTGCGATGCGAGGAGTGTGGTTGGGTTTTTACGTTTTATTCTTCAAAGAAGGTAAAGAAATCCTTTGAATAAATGGCTTGTTTATGCCATGCGCAATCCATTGGTAAAGGACATGCCTCCATGAAAAGGTTCTGTACTCACATGAACATGCCATCACCAGCATACCGAGATTGTAATATGTAGCCCTATCAAAAGCTGCTAACTCTGTTGCCACCAAGTTTATGAATGATGCAGCTGTTGAGGCTCATGGTGAAAATCCTGGTCAAATAACCCAATGTGGTGTCTCCTGAAATTTACATACTTGGTGTCTTGACGGTCCGGACAGCTGGTGCCGCTTTAAACAAGACAAGTCAAATAATACTGACTTATATAAGTGTGGTCTTCCAGACAACATCATTGCTCAGATTAGGCCCATTTATGATAGACTAAGTAGTAATGATTTGTTGGTCAAATGTTTGGAAGGGAAAACTCAAAACCAAAACGAATCGTTGAACGGCATGATTTGGAACAGGCTTCCGAAGAAAATTTTGTGGGTGGCAATGTTCTGCAGTTGGGTGTGTATGATGCTGTTGCTGATTTCAACATGGGTTCAAGGGCTTCTGTTGATATCTTACAACAACATGGGCTAGTTCTTGGCTACTACTTTGAAGAGGTTGTCTGCAAAGCTGATAAAAAGCATGTAAAGAAAAAAGATCATCAAGTTAAGCCGGATGTCAAAAAGAGGAGGAAGGTGGTGTATGGCCAGAAAAAGAAGAGGGAAGTTAAAAATCAGGAAACAGAAGTCAATACCTATGAGGCAGGGACCTTTTAACACTAAACTGGTCCATTCATAAGGTTTATTAATCAATTGTAGGTCAATATTGTTCTGAAAATCAATATGTTCAACTTTAAAGCAGTTTTTCTCAAATTGCCGAAATCCACCAATGGCCGTTATTGCATGCGCAATATCTCAAAAAGTATTTAAGCTATTGACTTCAAACTTTCAGTGTAGCTTCTGTATTGCATTCTCTTGGGGATGAACTAGAATCATAAAAATATGTGCAATAGCATTAAAGTTGTGATAGTCAGTATCATGCCGATAATATGTATTTTCAATATTTTGTCCGCAAAAAATTTATTTTTGCTTCAATCACCATAGTTCTAGTTCATCCCCAAGAGTATGTGGTATACTATTAAATAAAAGTTATTTTAGGTTTTTATCATTCATATTTCTTGAGATATCATGTTTACAAATATGTTGATTTTTCACCACCAGGGGGTAATTAACATGGTAACCATGGCAACGGTAACTTTGAAAAACATTTTTTTATCTTAGTGGTACCATGCCCTAAAAACTGACCAAAGATGAACTGATTAGCATTAAAACACACAAAAAAAAGTTTTTGAGTATTGGACCCCCTATAGCATTGTAAGTGATGCTATAAAAGTAAAGGCAAACTTTGAACGAGAGATGAAAATTATCCTTTTCAATTAACTTCATAAGTAAGTTTGTAAAAACAAGGAAGCCAATCAACTGTTGTTACAATATTGTCTGTTAATATTGACCGAAAGCCGGCCAAAGTTTTCAACAACAACTGAAAGATAGCCATTTATTGTTAACAAATAACAATTTGATTTCTTCTTTTTTGGCAAATATTTATTAATTTGAGACTGATTTCAGTTCGTAATTTATCGGCAAGTCAGAATATTATTAAAAAGCATGTTTTACGCAATAAGTTTTCCAGCAATAATTTCAGCCCCCCCCCCCTTCGGTAATCTTCTTTCGAATTTTTAACAAATTAAGAATTTTTAGTGTTCCGGTGTTCCGTGTTCCGGAATGATGCTGTTCCGGTGTTCCGTGTTCCGGTGTTCCGTTGTTCCGGTGTTCCTGGTTTTACTAATAGCCCTATATTAAAGTTGTAAACCTGTCGGCTAAAATATAAAATTCAAAAGACAAAGTGTAAAATGTATAACATATACCGGTATCTAAACAGAATACGGCAAGCCATACTGCTATTACTGCATACCGTATGTCGTATGATTTTACCGTATGGTCACTATAGTATAGAGTATAAAACCTTGGCTGTCCTTGCCTTGTTTATATTTTGCTGGCTGGCAAATTACGATTATATAAAACAATACATTCCCCATTCTGTTTAATACACCATAATAATACGAAGCTCTCTTTGGAGCTTTTAAAATACATTTGCCTGCCAACGTGTATAACACGGGAAGGGGTCTATTTAAACTTTTCCTAAGTCATTATATTTAATACTGCAATATTTATAACTGCAGTACAGCCATACAGGCACAAAGCATAATATAATTTTGAACGGTCTTCGTCTACTACTAATTTGACTAGGGCTTTCGGGCAGGCTCTACTTATAAAAGAGCCGGCCACGCTGGCTAGAACCAAACATCCAATAGCAACGTTTCTGTTCATGCATTCATCCAACCATGCTATTTAAATCTTAATGAACATAAAACGAAGGATGTGCACGGTGTAAGGTACGGCTGAACAAAAAATCCCAGCTCATT